TATGTCGTATCCTTTGGGATTTTGAATTTTTCTTCTTTCACCCCAAAGAACAAGTTTAAATACTATAGTCAAACATTTGACTTTTCTTTTCCATTTCTCAACTTCCCATTTGATTTTTCATACATCTGGTTGATTTTCAGAACAAAATGAAAATGGACCAAGACAACTCTAAGATATTATCCACAAATTTAGATTTATCAATACTATAATAAATTTACTCATGTTATATTTATATAGAGTTGGCTTAAGCATTGAAAATATAACATACAGAAGCATTTAATTAATTGAAATCATAGATAGATCAAGAGTCGAATCTTCTAAGAAGAAATTAAATTCATAAAAAAAAACCATGAATAAATAATTTCAATCACAAAATAACATCATATATGAATTAAATGTGTAGAGTGACCAAAGGGCAACTCAAGAACATGAAAGAAATAATAAGATACTATGTATGAGCTTGGCTAGAAAATATCAGAGCATGAATTAAAGATGAATAATTAATATGGATGAAGAAATGTGTGTTATTTATGAAATTTCCATTGTCATCTTAAATATAAAAACTAAATATTGAATTATTACTTTATGACCTGATTTCTGAAAACTAAAAGAAGACTATATATAAGAACTTTAATAACTCATACTAGAGTTTCTAAAATGTTCTCAAGTATTATTGCAATTTTTCTTTTAACATATTTGCTACGATTAGCATTGAAATATTTGCTCTCTATAGTTGTAATAATTTTCTATACATAATTGTAGCTAAATTAAACTTTTAAATCTAGAAATTTTGTAGAATTTACCATTTTAATTAGGATTTTTAAGGGTAATAATAGCCCCTCTATAATATTAATTGTACACCTTTACTTATTTTTTCATGTAATATATATAATTTTTAAAGAAAACCCACCAAATATTTTTTAGGATAGAAAAAAGTAGTCCATTATAAATGAGTGTGGCATGAATTATTAGTTGTTTTTTACTTTTAAAATTAATTTTATCTTTCGATATTATTGTAAAACTATTTTTTATAACCAGATTTTAAATTTATGGTTTCTTTTTTTTATATATAAAAAAGCTGAAATTCATTCATTGAAATTACAAATATTACAAACAAAAACAAACTTATAACATTTCCCTGAATACGAAGTTAGTATGATATAATTGGCCACAATCAAATTCCCCAAATAATTACTGAAAGATTGAATCTTTTACCATAATATGATAAAAAAAACTGTAGCCAATTAGGACCAAAAAATAATATTCTTATTATGATCACAGAAATAGCATTCTTAAACTGTGTAATCAACCTACCCACTGCATACGATACTCTTCTTTTTTTCTCTTTTCATTCTCCAACATTCAACGTTGAACAAAAACAATAACATATGACTTTTCTACCTCCAAAGCCACCCTCCCTAAGAAAAACCACCAATATATTATATAATTAATTATATATATATATATATACACATCTTAAGAACTCTACACAAAAAAGGCATATAATATAGATATAGAGAACAATGGATAACCCTAAACAAACTTTTGGGAGTTTAGCAGTTGTTCTATCTTTGCTTCTTGCTGTGTTTATTTTGCTGTTCCATTGGTCCTCCTCCATCTCCAATGAGTTAGTCCTAATCCACAAGGAACCACCATGCAAGCAATCAAACTTTGTAAGTTCAAATCACACACATGTTCTTCTTCTTTTCTATGAAAATTGTTGAATTCCACCTTTTAAACTCAAATTCCTCATAATTTTTCCTGTGTTTTTCACATATTAAAAGCTTTCCCTTTCACCTCAAAAGTGTTATATCCACAAATTTTTCTCAGGTAACTGTGTTAAGAAGTGAACTTTAAGTCTAATTCAACTCCATAAAATTGGCTTGGCTTGTAAGATGAGGTTTACATTCACTTGTATATTCTAAATTGACTTATCTCTAATCGATATGGGACTTCTAACAACTACTTAGAAATTTGGACTATGTTTTTGTATTTTTTGATATATAATAATTTATCTTTCTAAGTCTGATTTGGATTGGAATGTAAATTCCCAGTCATATACATATGTATATATGTAAGGAGTTTGATTCTCTTTTTAGCTGTAACTTTTCATGATTTTGATTTTGCCTTATATGCACTGTAGAAGACTTCAGACATTGAAGAATGTGGAGATAGGCTTGATTGTGCTTTAGCAAAAGCTTCAATGGGAAACAAAACAGTGATAATTGCTGTAGTGAATAAGGCTTATGTTGAGCAAGATGTGGAGAGTGAGAGCACCATGCTTGATATATTTCTCAGCAGTTTTTGGCTTGGAGAGGGAACAAGATCTCTCATTCATCACATTCTCTTAGTTGCTGTTGATCAAATTGCCTATGAAAGATGTCAGTTTCTGAAACTGAACTGCTTCAGATTGGAAACAGATGGTGTTGATTTCGAAGGTGAGAAAGTTTACATGTCTCACGATTTCATCAAGATGATGTGGAGAAGAACACAGTTCCTCTTGGATGTTTCTCAAACGTGGCTACAGCTTCGTTTTCACTGTATGTAATCCTTTCCATTTTCTTGCATTTTTGTTTTTATTTCAGATTATTCCTGGTTAATTACGTATATATAACATCAATTTATATTATAAAAAAGGTAATATTCAGTTTTATAAAATTAAATCTTACTATTATGTTTAAGTGTATAGAATTGCATAGTGGAAAATTAAGTCAAATTCTCTTTTAATCTTTATTATTTATGAGTTAAATATATTTTTAGTTCTTAAGACATAAAATTAGAATCTATCTTTCCCTAAATCTTTAATATATTTTGGTTTCAATTTTTAAAAATATTTTTCTAATTTATTCAATTTTAAAATTTGAAAATTAAAATATATCAATACAAAGACAGATTATAATTTTGTATTTAATTTTATGA